AGTAGTAGCAGTAGTAGCAGTAGTAGTAGTAGTAGTAGCAGTAGTAGGTGGTAGTAGTAGTAGTAGCAGCAGTAGTAGTAGTAGCAGTAGTAGTCGTAGTAGTCGTCGTCGTAGTAGTCGTAGTAGTCGTAGTAGTCGTAGTCGTCGTAGTAGTCGGAGTAGTCGTAGTAGTCGTAGTAGTCGTAGTCGTAGTAGTAGTAGTAGTAGTCGTAGTCGTAGTAGTAGTAGTAGTAGCAGCAGAAGAAGAAGAAGCAGTAGTAGTAGCAGAAGTAGTACCCTATGCGCCTTTATTTGATCATGGGTTGGAGGGGTTGTTACGTCATGATCGAATGTATGGGGTTTACGTGTTTGTCAACGAAAGCACTGCTGGTTTAACTAAGCTACCATTGGGTTGAGGTAAACACAAGTCTATGCCTCGAACCCCTCAAACAAAAACCTTCCAACCCAGATAATAAACTGTCTCAGTGCCGCTAAATTTTGCAAACCGTCAACCTAAAAACCAGAAGGCAGCGTCACGCATGCAACATCAAAGGTCATGGCATGTTCTGCCTCAGGTCAGTTTTTGTTTGGTGTGCCAAGACAAGCACGATTAACGATGATCTTGTTCCATCACCCAACAAGTGGTTACGCCAAATTCTGCGCCCGTGGCGTTTTTTTCATCCTCAAAGCCTTAACACGCACATCGTCCTGTAAAGCACAGTATGATAGCTACTTCCCGCCACAACCGGAGGAGGAAGAGGAGGAGGAGGAGTGATAGTAGTAGTAGTAGTAGTAGTAGTATTATTGTCACCCACTTGGCACGACTGAGTCAGCACTGCGGGGCCTCAAAGGTCACGAGGTCGACAAGGAGGCGACGACACCATCAGAACAAGTGACCAAACAAGTAAATGACTAAAGACCACCAAACCGAATCATCGCCTCCCGTGGAAAATCACACACACTTGTACATCTGCCAGTCTCTCAAGTGCGTATGGCCAGAATAGCAAGCTACATCATGTCAGGCATTCATCAAAGCCCCAATCACGAAAAACCACAAAACTAAACAAACACTTTAGTAGTAGTAGTAGTAGTAGTAGTAGCAGCAGCAGCAGTAGCAGCAGTAGTCGTAACAGCAGTAGTAGTAGCAGCAGTAGTAGCAGCAGCAGCAGCATTTTGATTCCCGATGCTGCGATCACTCTCATGAGCGCTTAGCGAGCTGGCAAAACTCCCAGTTTCGGGGATTCTGGATGAGAGGCGTTTGTGCCGTCCTCGTTCTGGTTGCGAACTACCTACGTTGCTCAGCGATCGGTTCACTCATAGGTGTCATCTCCTGTGATCAGACGGAGCCAAACGATATATTCTTGTGATTCGAGTTCGTCATTCACCGGTTGTGGCAGGCTATTGTCGTCTGTGGCCCAGCTGTGCAGCGCTCCAAAGCCCTTTTGTCCTTTCAGCACAGCTCGGTAGTGCCCTGTCCCGGCTGTCGCATTGGCCCTCAAGCGTCTAGGACTTGTGAAACCTCACGTTCTGTGGCGGCCAGAAAGCACATCTACGGATTGGGAAGAAGTCCCAGGGCATGGAGTTCATTGCGTGATGAGACGCTCGACAACAAAGAGCTTCTAGCAGATGATGTCACTTTTGGGCATCGCTGGTACCCGAGGAAGAAGGACTTTTCGTGCTGCGCGACAAAACATGCCAGGAGATCCTGAGCACTGCCGCGGTCTATGTTGATGATGCTTTTTTGTCATTGGCTTGGAAGGCATTGTCACAGCATTCTTGAAGTTCATTGGGTCCACATGGAGCACAAAGTTCACTGGGTTCATTAGCAGGCATAATCGCGAAAGCTTTCGAGATGGACCCTTCACTTTGAACCGCGTCTCGGAGTTGTCATTCCTTGGCTTGCAGGTCCAGTTTGGGGCTGAGGGAAAGGTGATCTTCCACCCAAGGCGTTGGATGTTGCATCTGCATCAGGAGCGCAACTGGGTTCACCTTCGCGGCTCACAGAGCCTGCTGCAAGCGGAGTTTGTGGGCAACGAGGACGAGGAGGATCCGAATTTCGCAAAGGAGCTCAAGCAAGCTCAAACGGAGCTTGGATGTTTGCTATGGGTTGCAACGAAAATGCAACGAAAACTATAGGTGACATTTTGTCCACAGTTTCGATTGCTGCAACCCATCTGCACAAGTGTCCTTCGCAGGTTCTTAAGGTAGCGCATGGTGGTTGGAGATTGGAGATAGTTGAGAGGAACTTTGGACATTGGAATCTCCTTCTGTGGGTCTCTTGGTTCGAGCCGGCCTCTAGTTAGTTGCCTGGAGCGGATCAGGTGGTATGACATGCATCAACAGCTGCCCTTTGACTTGGTGGGCGCGGAGTGTGTGAAGCAGAGATAAGCAGAGACAGACGGACTAGCCGCTGCTATAGCTGAAGTGTCAAAGATTCTTCCTTTGTTGCAGGCATTGACAGGCCGATCGTTCCAGTGTCAGCTCAAGCCGTTTGGGGACACTGCGGCCGGGATCACGGTCGACAACAGGGAGCATTTCTTTGTCAAAACGTTTGGGACCAGGGATTTCGCACGTCGTGCCGAATGGTTGCGCGATCAACTTCGAAGGGCTGGCATGATCTTACTCTTACGGCATTATTATGGTGCAACCTTGATTGCAGACATGTTAACGAAAGTGCTTCCAAAGGTAAAGTTGGCTCAGCTACGGTTGGCAGCAGGTTTTCTGTGACACTCGATCACGACAGCACAACGATCTGGAGATCAGAGGCTGGGTTCCCCAGGTAACTGATAAAAGACCTTAATTAGCCGAAGGCATAGTCCAGCTGAGCTGCATGCTTTTGAGCATCCAAGTAGCTTCAAGAGCCACGGAGGAGTGCTGCTGTGCTGAGAAGATTAGCTGATTAGCATGGCCCCTCGCAAGGACGACACGCCATCGGATGCATGGCTCAAGTCACCTGTGAAAGAGTGGAGGTGAAGGATGATTTGAGTTGGGGATGAGCCTTGAGGTTGGGCCCAGGCCTGTAACATCCTCTAGATGGAGTGCGATCACCTTGACGATCTTCCTCATAGTGTCCGAATGCATTTTCAAGATATATAATCCTGTGAATCAAACTCCTACTTGTAGTCATTACAGCATTGTGATGGCGACTCCTTCCCCATCGAATCCTCATAACCTTGAAGAGACCAACTCACACACAGTTCAGAAGCATGCATATCTTAGGCATGATCGAGGTAGACTTGGTAAGCGAATGTCAATACAATGATCTTAATCTTAAGCAGAAGTATGAGGATCGAGCAAGCCGCGATAAATCATGTGATGGGACGCAGGCTCGTGACGGCTTTTGGGGCCTGTTGACGTGCTCGTCCTTCGGTTCGCTTCGTCCGCAGAGGTGGTGACGGTCAAGGCATCCCGTGCCTCCTTCGGTCAACACACAGAGACATCCCCATACGCGTGGAGATCTGTGCGCTTCTTTTTGCCAAGGCTCCATTGTCAGTGCCGGCTAAGGCTAAGGCCGGCTAAGGCGGTTTTTTGGCAAACTCCGGGCAAAGCAGACGGCTGCAGCAAAGGGTGGCCACACAACGTTTGCACACTGTGAGTTGCCATGTCACATGCGGCCTGCTCCGGCGCGAGATGCAAGCAAGACTTGCCACATGGACGAACTTGGGACGATGCTGAATGGTGGCAATGACTGCTGCGGCTACCCATCGGAAAAGAAGCATCGCCTACAAGTCGCATGCTGCAGCTTTGGCATTGAATGCCAAGAGTGGGACATGTAGCAAATGAATCAAGTAGCGCTGCCTCCAGCTTCGCGAGGAGGAGTACAGACTCTAAAGCTTCAGAAAGGCACCATGCCGCACAGAATAACAACCCAACTATCTAAGGCGCGGTGCAGCGGCTCCCTACTTCTCGTGGTTTCTTGCGACCTCTGGCTCTGGAACTAAGCAACTTCAGCTAATGCACTGGTTACATCGACGCCATCTGTCTCGTTGCCATATCGATCATGCTGGCGTCGGCGAAGTAGACTACCATGCTCAGGAACAAACACAGCCACGAAGGACTTGCCACCGAAGCGCGCAGTGTCCACATACACTTCTAAAATGCCTAGTGTCCAGAATCATTTTTCCCTCGCCGTGTAGCAGCAGGACATGGATACATTGAATTTAATGCGGGAAGCTGACGAAGGAAAACTGTTTTGTCTGCTACGACGGTTGAAAGGGCAGAATGCATCTTCCTCCGTTCCTAACAGGCCCATGCAAAAGATTTCCAGTCCTTCATGTTCACCAAAACCACTCAAGCATCCTGTCGTTGCCAAGTCCCTGACTGAGGTACCCGCGTGCTGACCGGCTGGACTGGTACATCCTTTTGCTGGACAGCGGTCATATTGCATCGCCAGTCTTTTTGAATCTTTTTGACACGCAGCACGGGGTCGATGCCGCAGAATCAACCCGTGGCCTAAATATATATGAAACAAAAGCCTTTGCCGTTGCCCAGCGGACCTCTCCTGAGACAGTGTGACTATGTACAGCGTGCCTACCGGCACTGGACTTGGTAGTGCTGTACCGCCAAGCACCGATTCTCTGCTTACACCATGATCACCACCTCCAGTTGTGCACCCAAACGCCCGAGCTTGGGTGACAGAACATCCCTCTGGAAATGTTGCGCTCGCAGTGTCGAAAAGCCGTTGCTAAGCCACGTGGGCCTGCGTCTGTCCAGCACGTTCACTCATCTCAGAATGCCAACAGGGGGCAATCGAGGTACACGGCACGAAATACTTCCTGCAGTCGTCCTGGCATCCATGCTTTCTCTGCCATCTGGTCGTCAACACCTCGGGTTTATTTGGACGACGACAATCTCAACAGTTTCGACATGTACTCGCCCCCACAACCCCTCGGGACAGCATCGGGCATCGCACTCAGCCATTGTCAAGCGAACGCTTTGCCGCGTAGCACGATCCCCACCTTCGTAGTCACTCAGTGCCGTACCTGTTTAGGATACTCAAGCTGCCATCAGTCTGAGACCGCCACCAATCATCCAAAAAGGCCAGTTCTGGATGCCAACTAATACTGTTCAGGCGTGGAAGGGGCTGAACAAGTCCGCCGCCTCCAGCGACTGCGCATATTGCCAAAAACCGGGTCTCGCAGGGCACTCCATTACCTTCATCTGCTTCAGGCGCTTGAGCTGCACCTTCCAGCCTCAGCATCATGCAAAGCAACAGTGCTCAAAGGGTGCAGCTGCCATCAAGGACAAGGCGATTGCTGCGGCAGTCTGAACGGTACAGTTTGTGGTCTGGTTTGACAGTTCCTTGGCGCTGTGCTCCATTGCCTTCTCGGGTGAACCAGGCTGGTTACAACAGCACTGCTGCTACCATCCCCTGCTGGCAAAATTGAATTGAGACAAACCTGCGAGGCTTTCGTGAACCCTGACGGGCATGCATCAAATCTTGCCAACGTCGGAGTGTGCAGCACTACAATTGTAAGGAGAAGCTGGAATGCTTCAACACTCCAAGTCTGCCCTCCACGTCGGGCTGCAAGGCCTAGAGGGATGCGAAAATTAAGTGCACCAATTACATCATGGCTTTCTTGGAGGGTCAACCATGGACATCGGCAAGGATTCCACGAAAACTTGACGAAGTGCACAAGACGGCATGCAGCATCTACCATCCTCTGGAATGAAAGCTGTTGCCCCGGGCTGCAGCACCAGATGCGCAGCACCACGATCTGCGAGCGATATCCATCTCACCTGTCAGCCACTCAGCACAACCAAGTCTCAGCAACCATTGGAGCAAGGACAGCCTTCTGGCACGCTCCGCTGCCATTGCCTGCTGCAGCTGCTTACTAGTTACTAGCCAACTCCAGCTGACGAAGATGCTTGCAAAACGGCCTTCCCGATCAAAGTCCACCTGGGCACAGTCCCACATGAATGTCAGATTTATTTAGATTAATGATACAACGGCTTTTTTCAAGCAGCTGTCAGTGCTGAGTCGGCGAGTGACCTGCGCCTTTCTCTCCTCCAGCATGGTCGACTCGTGAGGGCATGCCTGGGCGTATTAAGAAGCTTCTCCACCTTTGACCGAAATCACTGCTCTAGCCTGCAGGGGAGTTACTGACTAACATGATTAAAGTATGTATATAGATATAGACCTTAGCTGTGCGCCGTTCGGCAGCTTGGCGATGCAGCTCCCAGGCAAAGTAGAAATGGCAAAGCACCGACACTGTTGTATGCTTTCCGAAAGCCTAATACCGCACTTCTGGCTCCAGTCTTTCAATTCGGGCGGTGAGGGCAAGCATGCGGTTCCAATTGTACTCCGTGGGTGTTGCGGCTTAAAGGATCGGAACCTGGAAAGCATAATATGGAGAGAGAGAGAGAGAGAGAGAGAGAGAGAGAGAGAGAGAGAGCGGACATCAAAAGCCGGCCCGTATGAAAGAGAGGACCTGAGAGTGCTCGCCGTGACCTTTGTGGCTGCAGCTGCGTGTCGCAGCTGCATGATGTGCCTAGACTGTGTACCCGGGGAGTTGGCAGTGAGCAAGAGAATCGCTTTCACAAGGCGTATTTGTGCGGATCCTGTGGCATAAAGGAACCTGAGTGAGTTTAGCTGATGGTTGCCATTGCTGGATCTGCAGCAGTTCACTGGGAAATTACGAACAAACTCAGGATGGTGCGGATGTCATCGCGCAGAAGCAAGTCCTTGTTTCAAGCAGGCTCGACCACGTTCACGAAGCTGGAGCTGCGCACACATACTAAGCGTCCCTGCACAGCCCAGAACACGCGTCCATGGTCGTCAAAGATCGTAGCATCCACAAAGACATGGTCAGCCCTTACTCGCGAGCTCACTGACAAACTGTCTGCAAGCATCACCCCATCATGCTGAGGCTTCAGCAAGAAAAGCCTGAAGGCAGCTGTCTGGAATGCAATGCCCGGTTGCCGGGTGCAGGAGAACCTAGTTTTGGGACATTTGAAGAGTCAGCAAGAGATAGCAGGTGGAACTCCATAACACCAAACATCACACAGCAATGTAGACAGCCTCACTGTCACATGCTTAATTAGCTTGGAGACGCCGGCTGAAGCCCAGAATCATGAGGGGCAAGAACTTCAAAGTGGCACACCTGCTCGTTTGTCTGCATAATGCACATTCGCGGAATCGTTAGCGGTTCTGACCCTGAAAGCACATTCATCGCTACGCTGACCACACCAGCTTTCAATGGAGTTTTCTTTGATCCCTCTGTTTACTCTTTTCTGTGTTGTACGACGGCCGCTGGTGCCCGGTGTGAAGTGGAGTTGCTTTCATTATCAAGACCCTGCCAGGTTTGGCACCGTCTGCGTGAGGAAACAAACGTTCCAGCTCTTGTAGGCAATGTGTAGACACTACGTCTTCGCACGGTGATTCCCGGATTAGGTAGGTAGGCAGTACAAAGTGAATCCAAATCTGCAGAACGGCTTGGATACAGGAACTACTAATTCTGAACGTGATACTGAATTGCTTCAATACCCACTGAATTCTGGCACACTCTCTGTCCAAGTGATGGTGTGCATCAGCTCGTGCGCAGATGCCTGTGCGCGGAGCTTCCTCTCTCTTACCCGTTGATCGCGGCACAAACTTGCCCTTCCGGCATCCTGAGCTGATGTACTCTCCATGTCATCACGGTTGAGCTGTTGTGATTGAGGTTTTAATGAAGTGCTTCAAGGTCCTGCGCAGGTGCCGGCAGATTTGCCGGATCTCGTGTCTGAATTACCTGGGTAGGCACATCCGCGTACACAATCCAGCTCGCCTGGTGACAATTACAAACAGCGTTCACAAGCACTGAGAGCAAAACGCTGTGAGAGCTTGACACTGCAACCTCATGGGATCTTATGGGCACTTCAGAAGGTGCTCTGCTGTCGCTCCATCACCAGACTTCCAAGGCTCGAGCACTGCCGAAGCTGTCTGCTCGCTCACGGCCGAGCCTGAAAGATGTAAGCTTGTAGAAGGTATTGGAAAAGCACTCCGCCTTCGCACCCCGAAGGGTCAGCAGCAGAGTGTAGCCGTGCAGCCCCAGTGCAGAGTCCAGGTCATCGGGCCCAGGACGTCCCGCCAAACGCTCCCAAGCTTCGCAATTAGGCAGCAGGGACTGGAAAACATGCCTGTAGGTCAAATTCGCATACAGACCCGCAAGCGTGCCGCTGCTTCTCCAAAAGGCAACGAGAAGCCTTCCGCAAGGGCTTCTTACAAGTCTTATCTCGTCCTTAACGAAACCATCTCCCCAGTCATCCACTCGGTCCATGGCAGCTGCCAGGAGAATCTCCTCCCTCCCGGTTGAAGACGACCTTCCACTACACTCCAGGCGGAAAGGGCAGGCGACTTGCAAGGATGAGAAGCTGCACCTCAAGCAAACCGCCGAATCGAACGGCTGGACAGAGGCTTCGCTGAATTCGAAACGTGCTATATTGGCCTTCCTTGCAATACACAGGCTATAACGGATGCGGAGTGACTCGTGCAGCTTGCGAAGGTCTGGCAGCCCGTCTCTTCGCCGTGACTTCTGCATAAGAGCAGGCAGGCCTCTAGACATGAAACCTTCGCGTGTGCGACGAAGCCGCTCGACAAACTGCTGGCGCCACGATGCAACTAGCAGTTCGTCCCCTGCTTGTTCACGTGGCCATCGCAAGCGATAAAGACTTCTCCAGACGGCATCAACCGAACAGGTATCACGCAGCTGGCGGGAAGACGCTTTCAGAGAGCAGATATCTCGCAGACTGTGGTATATAATCGTCTTCTGCATCAAATCTTCCGTGTTGACAAGCGCTGCAATAGGCGCGCCAGGTAGCAAGCCTGAAATCTCTCTGGCTCGCAGACCTTTACCGCGTGCAGCCAGTTTTGCTGAGGGTTGAAAACGTCCCTGACGAAGTGACACTGATTGGATCGTTTGGGGCATGCCCTCGGCCCTCCGGAAACTTCTCCGTGATGCACTGTGCGGCCGACTGGGCGCTGCCAAAGGAGGGCTCACAAAAGATTCCCGTGCCTCCATCGCAACGTCTCGGGCCGGGCCATGCACTTTGGTCAAGTAAGGTTCCATCAAACACTGAACGCAAGCTCGTCAAGGTGAAGATGAAACGCGACAGAAATACGAGCAGTTGACAGCTCGCGAACCTACAACCCCTGCCTACACAGGCAGACAGCGGTGCATGCCTTCAACGAGTCACATCCTTTCGTGACTTCGGATCATTTTGCTGGAGCAGCTTGCAGAATGCAAATGTGATCCTGCCGCTCTACCGCCTCCGGCAGCCTCCTTAGGCAATGCAGGAACCCTCGCCTGAGTTTTAGCAGTGTAGAGTCTGGCAGCTAGGAGCCCAGCCATCAAAGGTTTCCTGAAGAAGCTGCACCGGCTGCAATGCGGTTGACGTATGTACAGCTTGTTCCAGATGCCATCATGGCGAACCGGAACTTCATGAACTAGATTCAGAAATCACTCGCCGCCAGTCACGGCTCGCCTGACAGTGGCGACTCCAGGAAAGCATTGCGCTTGCCGCTCAAGCTGTGCCTCTTGTCTCTATCGTCGTGAAACGGTGAGGGCCTTGGTTGCTGCATGTTGCTGCACCCTGCTCGACAAAAGTGAAACCAAGACGTGCAGAATTCGCAAGTGCCTTTTTGGTATCAATCTCGCAAACATACCTCTACTACCTCAGCTATTTGAGTCAGTCTTGATCCTCCGACGAGTGCTCTGTGAGAACACCACTTTGGTGAAGCTCTACATGCCTCTGCGACTGGAAACAAGCTGGAACAGCGGAACATGTCCTGGTCACGGATTGGCACCAGCACGACACAGGTCTGAGAGAAATAGAATCATCAATTACCTGTTGAGTGATGAAACGCTACGAACTGCTCAAACCTGGTGCATGCTGGGAAAAGGGCAGAACTTCCTGTCTGAGGAACCGTTGCTAGCTGTAATCGCCGACGCTCATCTTGCCATCTGAGCTGGTAGTGGAACAGTCAAGCACCAGGTTTGGCCCTGCGTCTGATCCTGCAAGGACTCATCACGTGATGCCAGTTGGCCTACCTATGAGCACGACCACCCAGCCTTGCCATGATGTGCTTCACCTTCTTTCGACGATCTTTTTCGCCAGGTGGACAAAGGTGACAAAATGCACAATGCCTCAGGTTCTGTGAAGCAGATGTGTGGGCATCGGTCCGTTATGTTTGCTCTGCCGATCGGGCAACCCCTGAGGTCTGCACAAACCACTTTGGCAGCCCTTCGTGTAGACGAAAGCGCAGGGCTTGCAGGTGCCCTCCTCATGTGCAGCTGAACCGAGGGTGGCCGGGAGGGATGGAGGCTCCGGGACAGGAACATGCACTTGCGCTTCTGGCAATGCATAGCTGTTTCCGTCGAAGCCGGCGCCGGGGTAGCACATGTCAAGGGTCACAGCTCCGGCCCATGGGCACACGGACGGGAAAGACCAGTCTGTGGCAATTGGCGGGCTCAAAGGAGTTGTGGCGAGGATCATCTGCGTGCCGCCAACAGCAGGCTCTTGCTGGCTCCCCTCGAGCTGAGCTTGACCCCAGAATCTTGCATCATTTGGAAACGGTGCAAGCTCTGCATCATCGAAATAGGTGCTGCCAGAGCTTGATTCAGCCCCCTCCACTTGTTCAGAGCAATGCCCTGTAGCCTCCAGGCCCGGAGGGGCCGACGGAAGAAAGACGCCCTCGCTTGTGTGCCGAAGCTTTCCAAGGACTGGGCTTGGTGGAGCAGGAGCCACCTCTGACTGTTGGGAGTCTGCCAAAAGCTTCAGAGCTCTTGCTGACATCCGACACTGTGGCCCAAGATGCCAGACGCTGTCACGTCACTACTACCTCAAAGCACTGGCAACAGGCTTCTTTGTAACCTGGAGCCCCGATGGCTTCTTGACGAACGCACTCAGCTTCGTTGTTCACAAGACACGGTGCAGCTTGCAGCTGTGTAACATGTCACATGAGATCCCGGCTCGTACAAATCAGGATGACCCGCCGAAAGTGTTGGATCGTACCTCTCGTGTGCCATGTTGAACCTCAGTGCGGCACAGCTGACCCGGGCTTCAGCGCAATGTCCGAAGACCAGGCCTCTTCACTTGGGACTTCAAGGCCTTCAAATGCAAGCAGGTCAGGCAATTTCAAGCATCCGCCCGAATCCTCAGAGGTGCTGCACCGCTGCCCTGTGCCTGCTTGCACACAGAGGTGCCCTGAACCTTCAGCGCAGGAATGCCGCACCGGTTTGATGTGCATCTTTGAGCAGCTTCAAGCTCGGGACGCCCATGACAGGAAGGCCACATCTCATCCTGAGTTCAATGCGTCATTCGAGATTAGAGATAAGGAAGCTTGCAGCTGGCTCAGGCAGCAGCACATGCAAGATCACACAACCCAAAAGCCTCAGCCATGCAAGGTGCGGGCGGACAGAGGATGCTCAGGCTGTCTGAAAAGGGCAACAACACAATGCAACCTCAGCAGAACTGCCAGGAACAAAGTACAAGGCTGCGCTGGGCTAGGCCTAGGCTGGGGAGACATGCCGAGGGGTGCCGAGGCACAGGAAGCCCACTCGCAGCAGCACGTACTTGGTGCACATGGCTTCCTGCAAAACTCTGAAGTCTCCAACCGGTGGGATCTCTGTCGTGTGAGGTCCTCGAGGCATCGGAGAAAAGCTCCGAGGTCTCTCATCTGGCCGAGGCAAAGCTCTAAGTGGGCCCGTCAGGCTAGCAGCCGAGCATTGCAGTTGCGTGGAACACCAGCAGACAAGCTGCGCGGACGTGAAGCCAGCTTTGCTGCTGGTGTGATAACTGCTCAAGTGCAGAACTGTGTCAGTTCTTGAGGCTTTCCCCGACACCAGATTCAGGACTGTTGGGTTGATGTAACGTGAAACAGGTCTCGGTGCAAGAAACTTATGACGCCTGGCTCGTGCGATTGATGGCTTCTCCGCTTCGCACGACCTACAATCCATGAAAGCTGATCTCGAAAACGTTCGAAACATGAGGGAAGAATCACAACCGCCACCACTCTCAGGATGCCGCTGGACGATGGGAAGCATCGGATGCCACCGCTGGCGCTGTGTTGCTGTCTCGGCGGCGGGCAGACATGACTGAGGCTCGTGCGCATCCTCTGTATCGTTCAGTATCTATCCAGCGTCTCTCTGCGTGGGATGGGTGTCAGCGTGGTGTGCGCGAGTGGTGCCACTCTGAGTCACCAAGCTATTTTTCGCCCTGGGCTGATGGATCGCCTTGGAATGACTTGCCGGCTGGCGGGCACGACATCCCCTCATATTTATCCAGAGGTTCGGAAGCAGAGGCGGCATATTCTTCTGATAGCTTTGTCGCCAAAGACCTCATGCAAGCAGCACGGCGTGGCGAACCTACGGTTCGTGGCTGCAAAGCATGGTAAACATCTTGCCATCCAGGGAGCTCTCCGAGGGTGGGCGTAGCCTGACCACTCAAAGGCTCGCAACATATGTACGCAAGTACGTCAGACTCCGGCTGTCCTGGACAGCCGTTGCATTGCTCGGCCAGGCCTTCAAGAAAACGAGCTATATAATGATACTCCATGAACAGAATAACTGCGGGTCACGCCTCGGCATCGCGAGACCTGACGCGATGGCAAAGAAAGGCTAGGCTCCAGCACGCCAATCCGTCGCATGCCAAGCCACTGCAATGTGACGGCAATCTGTGCCGCTGCCTGAGCTAGACAGAGGCTTAGAGCTCGGTTCAAATCGACACAGAAGACGCCGGATGACTTCGTCGGGCCAGGCACGTGGGCTGCTTCTGAGGCGACCTCCGAGAGATGCACCGCCGACTTGCCTGCATCCTCAGGTTCACACGTTTAAAGCTGAATCTGGCTGCCCTGCAGAGTGGCTGTAGAAGACTCTCGCAAACAGGCTCACGTCATCCATGAATTTGCACAGGAAGCTCTCAAACCCATCCCTCCTGTGCAGCTTCCAGCGCAGCATCAGTTGCGTCTGTCAGGGTTTTGCTGAAGTCCACGGCGGGGGCTCCGTGGCTCCTCTCCGTCTACGCCCATGAGACAGCAGAGGACAGATGTGTGAAACGCCGCAGCCGCGGTGTCTGACGTGTCTGACTCGATATTGCAGCACACTACAAACGCTCCTGGGAGAGCGACTCTGCACTTCCAACGAGACCTGCACAGACTAAATCGCCCGAAAGCAGCAAAGTCAGTATACGCGCCGGGCGATTTCGCAACGAAATCGCTTTCGCTGGGTTGTCCATCGGCTCGTTTGTTTCAGACACTTCACGAGCCACGTTTTGAAAAAGGCTGTACAGCGAAGTACATTGCGAGACAGTCTTTGTAACTGCGCTGATGTTCACCGAGAGTTCTCGGTACCCTGATCTTCTCGAGGAATGTCCGGACCCGCACGGCACCCTCGCCCGCGCCCACCCCTGCCCTGCCCTGTGCCCTGTGCCCTGCGCCCTGTGCTCTGCCCTGCCGTGTCCTGTTCCGCCTGCATTGCGTGGTTTCCGGCTGAGTGCTGCAATGCAAAACATCCCTGATGGATGTGATAAGCTGTTCTGGCCTGCATAAACGACAGCTCTCTGACGGGTGCCACCTGCAAGAAGGCAGTTTATTTCATCTTACGAGGTTCAACTACATCCAGGCAAACCACGCACACCTCAGACAGTTGAATAGAATGAAGGGCAGCAGCCAGCAGCGGTGCTGGGGATGATCCCTTTTCCTGAGAGCTCAACATCACAAAGCCAGATGCGACATCCTCTGTGAAAGCAGCCTCGTCGGTGGTGACGTGATCTTTCTTCATGGCCTCAGTGGAATGATAGAGGTCAGCACTGACTGGCTGGACTCAGATGTAAGGCCTGCCTTTGCTTGCGAATGCATTGCAAGTAAGATTGGTGCGAAAGCGAGCTGAACAACCACTAGTAGAATGCGGGGCATGGTAGCCTGACGTGACGCACGTCCTTGTTTTGTTTTACTTCCGAACCTATGGGAGGCAGTGCCCATCCTCGTTGTGTGAGGTCTCTCCAAGTGTGCAGCTGCTAGCCACACTAAAACTGCAGGCCTGGACTATGGAACTCGAAGAGCTGGACGCCCCTGGCACAGAACGTAGTCCCAAGGCTACGAGCCACTCGGTGGACATTCATGTCTGGAGAATACTACCCCGACCCCCCGCGTGCACATCCTCACCCCGACAGCGCCATTGAACTTCAGGCTGCAAGTTGATCGGGAACGACTCTTCCATGATGCTATACGGTGTGTTGGACACCCTGCGAAACCCGAGAGGCTGTTCGAAGCGTCACAAGAAGCCTGTGTTGGACTGAGAAGGCCTTTTGTCTTGGACCCTCGCCCATGTGCATGAAAATGCGACTGTGAGGGCAAACCTATAAGTCACTTCACAAGCTTCATTCTTGAGAACATCCACAATTAGACGGCACTGTGCCTCGCCTCGAGGAGGGAGTTGATCGTGGCTGCCAGTGTCCGTGTCAAGCGGCAGAGGCACCTGGGCATGAAAACCAGGCCAAGCTAAGTACACGGGAGTACACCACAAGACCGACTGCTCCCAAGGCACATGTTCTCCACATTAACGACATTGGGGAGAACTTGGTTTAACGATCATATTGGGCCAGAACAGCAGCCAGTTGAAAAACATTCGCGTCCAAAAACAGCATTCGCACAGCCACAAATAGCCACAAGCACAACAGTTGTGCTACAATCAGAGGCAGGCAGCTGCTTGCACACACAAGCAATCATGCCGCCCAATCAATCGACATTCTTGGGTAGGTCGTGTCTCCTGCTTACATGTGTCGGCAACATGTAACTCAACTCATCCCACAGGCCGCGACCTGTGCGTCAGCCCCCGAAAAAGTTTGAAGCAAACATGGTCCAAGAACAACTCAACTCTACTAACTGGTCAAAACCGATAACTGTCAGAGCGAAAAAGAAATCTCTTTGTGTTTATTGCGCTCAATTGCTCCTGTTGGATTGCCACTTACCATGACACAACAACCTGCTTCTTCACGGGTGCTGCTTGCATCCGGGCTCATGGTGCCATCGTGGCCTGACATCTAAATCTTGACATATTTGGACTTGTGCGCCTGACAATAGAATTACAGCACAGGAGGCATGTATATTGCAAACCTGTGTGCCACACAGGAGGGGTGTGCCAAGAACTCAATGAGCAGCAGATTTTGATCACTTTTCAAGCCAAGACGGTCTTGCTCCACGGCCACGGGCGCAACATCGGCAGCTGGCATCGTCGCCCTGATACATGTAACCAACTTTAGCGAACATTTAAAGTCGAGGTTCTCTTTTACACCTGGATGGCTCAACTACCAGTAGGCACAAATGTACTGCCCTGCCGCAGGCCTGTCTTGGCTGCTCGACTGCTCTTTATTGAACAAGTCCTGCCGACAATCGAGCAAGTAGAAGTGGATGTAGCTTGGTGCCATCGCAAACGTCCTGTTGTCAGAAATGCCCGCTGACTCAACGCATGCGCATCCAAACGGCGAGAAAGAATGCATAACACAGCTCGCATGACAATCCTGTCCTGAGAGAGTTCGCAACCACTCTCTCCACCGCTAGTGAAATCAACACACGGCTTAAATACACCTTCTTGGCACATTTGGTAGCCAGTGCCTCGGACCCATGCACGACACAGGCCCTGCAAAAACTCTTGGCACCCGCTCCCTTGGGCTCCGACACGGGTTCTGGTACTTGCACGGGTCTGCCTCCTTAGGATCACAAACCAATGCTGGTCCTTGGCATACCGGGACCACCCTGTCAGTCGTCGTTGTGACAGTCACAGTGGTCCTTGTGGTGCTTGTGGTGCTTGTGAGCACTTGAGTGGTGAGAGTGGATGTTGTGCTTGTTTGGGATGTCGTAGAAGTGAAAGAGGTGGTGCTTGTTGTCGTGGTCGAAGTGGTGGTAGAGGAGCTTTGGGCTGCGATCGGCTTTGTTTCCTGAGTCGTTGACGATGCAGTCCCGGTCGGCTCGGCTTGCGAAGCGGTGCTCGCAAGCACGCTAGAAGACACAGACGTGGTGAGATCTTGTGCTTTCGTGGAAGTTGCCGTGTGCGTTGTGGACAAACGGACGGACCTAGTCGAGGTAGTTGTCGTGGTTGTAGCTGATGTCTGTGAAGTTGAAACGGTTGACGATGCTGTTCTGCTGCCATCCGGCGTGGTGGGCGTACCTTTCGTGCTTTCAATGGAAGTGCTGCTGCCAGGACTCCGTGTCGATGTCGTGGATGAAGCGCGCTGTGCAGATGTTGTTCTGCCAGGTTTTTTGGTTGTCGTCTGAGTGCGTGGCTTGTCCCTCGCAGGTGTAGTGGTCGATGCTGATGTGGTTGATTTTTTAGGTGGGCCAGGTTGCCTAGTGGTTGTGCTTCTCCTGCTGACAGCAGTTGTGGAAGTGGCTTTCCTGGAAGGCTTCCGCGCCGACTTCTTGGTGGTGGTGGCGGTGGTGCTGGTCTTTGACACTGTGCTGGTAGTGCTGGTAGTGGTGCTGGTGGTGGTGCTAGTCGAACGCTCCCTTCTGCTTCTTGCCGTGCGCTTTGTGGTTGTTCTACTCGTTGCTCTTGTTGACTTGGTGGAGGTTGTGGGCTCCCGCCTCTGGCTGCTTGTGCTAGCTCCCTCCTCCTCCTCCTCGCTGGATTCGGTGGTGCTCTCCGAATCCGTACTAGACTGCTTGGAGGTGTCCTGTGCAGACTCCTCGTCCTCTGCACTCGTGGTTGTAGACTCGTCCTGCATACCCTCCTCAACCTGCTCAGTCGTGGAGGACGTGGCCCCTGTCTCTGCCTCAGTTGTGGTTGCTGCCTTAGCAGCCTTAGCACTTGTCGTGGTATCTGCAGCTTCTTCAAGCTCGTCCTGCGGCTCCTCGGAAGTTGTTTCTGCATTCTCCCCTTCTCCCTCAGACTGCTCAGACTCCTCGGAGTCGGAGGAGCTTTCGTCTGTAGTTGAGGCTTCTGCTTCTTCAGTGCTACTTGCAGTGGTGCTGCTAGTCTCGCTGGTGCTTGTCTGATCTCCGGCTTCTTCACGTCCCTCCCTCTCCTCAGTTGTCGTTGACTCATAAGACGAGGCAGCTTCTCTTCGTCTGCGTACTTTGGAGAAACTGCCCAGGGCTGGCCTGTCGTTTGCCAGCTGAACGCTTTCCACTTCGAGCTGCGGAGCAACTCCTAGAGCAGACACAGGGCCTTGGCCGCCTTGGCCTGTCGGAGCTTTCGCCTTCTGCGGTGCTCTTTGGGAAATTTGCGGAGCTCGTCCCAATGCTGGCTCTGTGGCCAGTAGAGCAACTTCAGGTCTTTCCTTTCTAAGCAGGCGGGGGCTGAAGTCAAGCAGGCGACCTGTGTCCAGCCGCATCTTGCCAGATGAACTGACCGACGCGCTGATGTCTTTGATGGCACTAATTGGTTGTAGCCATAAGAAACAAAGCGCCCATGCAACCATCAGCCAGGTCAACGTCGTTGACGTGGAACCTGGCCAGTAATATGGAAGTGGCCTTTACTTAGAACCTCAGGGTCAACCCCCGGTTTGGGCAACATGCCTGCGGAAATCACACATCGTCCAGCAAACCGCGAGGCTCACAAATGGAACCACGCACAGTAGCATGTGGCAGCCCCGCTGGCTGTGTGAGTGCTTTGACTCGCGCTTTTCCTGCTTTTTATGTATTCTAGTTGCACCATGGCATGATTGCCCAGCCGAAGCTGAATTTTTCCATGCCAGGGCATGCTGCCTCTCATGCACGGCTCGCTCTACTTGCTTGTCGGCGGCCCGGCTGGTTTGCGTTTCAAGCGACCAGAAATGCCGAGAGTCGCAAGGCCACTGTGACCGTCCTTGCAAACTGTAGCTTGGCTGGCTCGTAGGGCCAGGTGCTGTCAACAAGCGTTTCGATGCGCAAGCAGCCAGGCAATGCTAGGATCACACCAAGAGGCGATGACTCTCCAATCCAATGCTGACCATGACTCCTTCAGAATGTCCCGCTCTGCACGAATCAGCCACTTCGAAGATCCATCGAGAAACAAGGACCTATAGTTCATCATTGCAGCAGTGTGGACATCAGACATGCAAGATCAGCCTACCTAGCAGCTGCCAGAATTTCTTTACATAGAGCAGCATGACGAGCCCAAGGGCCCAAAGGACCCGCTACACTTTCCGTAGACAGAAGGCACAGAAATGACGGAACTACAAGCCTTGGCAATATCGCTCCTAGGCCGGATATGCTTGGCAACAAATCAGTGTGCCTGGCAAGTTTCAAAGTCTTGAAGTTCTTTCGGTCCTACCTGGACATGCCCCAAAGCGATGTGCTGCGCCGGAGCTTCTTAAGGCCGAGGCCCGACTTGAGAAGGGTCGAGGCTTTGCAGAATCCGCAGGATGCCCGGTTCTTCAACACGTCCGAAAATTGCTTGGCAGCCCTGGATGACAGCGTTCTCGTCCAGGCCCAGGTCTTGAGAATAGGTTGAGATCAAATGCCAAAGCGATTTGCAGCCTACACGCTTCACGATATCATGGTCTTCTCTGCCAACAACTCGGCCCCACCAGCTGCCACTGACCTGCAGGACATCGTCCCAACTTATGAGATGCAAAAAGGATGTGGCGAAGCCTCCTCTGGTTCTGAGCTCAGGGCAACCCACCATCCAAGCCTGCCTTCAAGCCGCAGCACGGTGGCGGTACTGGTTGCCTCGCGATGCCAGACGAGCTGGCCTCGGTACTCGGCGGTACAAGCTGGCATGGTGCGGGCGCTGGAGGCTTTCCCATTTTCAAGCGCTTAAGGTCTCCACGCGGAGCTTGGACAGTCGCTTCTTGGATCAACCTTTCTGTGGCTGTCGCTCCTGAGTCGCCCTCGTCGCTGTGCAGACCAATCTGCTGTGGAGGCCATGAACATTGGAAGCTCGTTAGTTGCTTCTTGTAGACCTTGTCAAGGCGAAGAATGTCTAGGTTTTTCAC